TTTCATCAGCGATGTTGAAGAATGTTTACACTGGTTGGAATGATCATAGTGATTTCTATTCATTAAAATTTTGGATTTTTGATTATATTCCATTTTTGTAGTAGGGAGGCATCAACAGTTTATGATTCATAGCTTATTATAAATTCCGTCAACATATTATAAGATTTTTGTGATCTAATAATTTTACAGGCATCTAAGTTATATTACGAATGCTTTACAAACTCCTAAAACGAGAGGTGAATGAAGATTGTCTAGTATTGCTGCGCTAAAGGTTACTGGCCAGTCTAATGACTCATAATCACACTTTAGGGTAACAGTTGTAAGATAGAATGTAGCTAGGGCGAAGGAAACACTGACCACGAAATCTTCGTCCATTGAATCAACACCAAACACATGCAGCAGGAATGTTTCACTACACATTGCACATTTTTGGAATATTTAATATCATTAAAGCCGAAGGATGAAGAGCCGTAGAAGTTTTAAAATTGTACGACTTCATGGATATGATTATGAGTTCGAAATGTCATTCAGTGAATTGCGCTGTATCGCTGTGTGGTACATAAAACAAACCGTCTTACATGGAGTGTGACTATGCAGGCTTTATTTTAACCAAGTCTAAAATAAAAGAATTCACTTCAGAGGCTTGCGGGAATTTATTTATTTATTTATTTATTGGCATTTGTCACAGAATGACACTACTTGGACAGCCACTGAGGGCCTGGAAGCTTTGGACAGCTGTTTCGTCGCGAGGAGTCCCATACAAGCGGGAAACGATTCTCTAGTGCTCCTTCGTTTCGAGTAGTTTTCCAACTGATGTCAGTTGGTGATGAAGGTTAACCTGAACTCAGCAGAATACAATTGTTGACATCTGTATTAGGCAAGTTATATCATGTAGTATTGAACTCAGTCACACTATAGACATGCATTTAAAGTTGTAAAAGTTCAGGTTATAAAATCAAACATAGTTAAATGTAACACATAATCTTATCAGGATGCATAATCTAGATAAGTTTGTATTACATATTTGAGTCTGAAGCGTCTAGGTTATGGAAACCAATAGTGAATTTTATTTAATGTGTACAATTCACTAATCCACAGCAAAATTACTGCATGGAAGACGTGGATGAGCAAAGCATTCAAAGTAAAATCTTTCAAAAGTCTCAGTAGAAACAAATCTGCATAAATTCATGACCCGAGTTAAAGATAAATCTGTATGTGAGGAAGGATGCAAAGAATAATGATACACTTAAACTACACATAGCAATGAACTTTCATCTACACAACTTACGATTCATTTTAGTTTGTTTATTAGAAATATCACACAGTGAAACAGTAGCATTTACTGGATAACGTTTCGGACACAATTTGTTCTCCTGTTATGAATATGGACAATAAATTGTGTCCGAAACGTTATCAAGTAAATGCTACTGTTTCACTGTGTGGTATTTCTAATAAACAAACTGAAATGGAATTACCATCGACCACAGTGCCAAGTTTAACCTTTATATTAACTTACGATGTTACTATTTTTGTGTGACTTAATAACTGAGGCCAGTTCAGATTATCATAAAGTTTAGGCGGATCAAATTTAAGTATCTACTAGTACCAACAAACTCAACTAAGTGGATAAATATTTGAAAGTATCTAATATTGTTAAAAACTCATTGCACAATTGAGGAGTTATTTGCATTACCATTTGATTGTTTATGGATATGCGTAACACATTCTCCTTAAAAAGGTGTACGGTTCGCTAGTGGCTTGAAAAGCATTCGTAATATAACTTAGATGCCTGTAAAATTATTAAATAACAAAAATCTTATAATATGTTGACGGAATTTATAATAAGCTATGAATCATAAACTGTTGATGCCTCCCTACTATAAAATGGAATATAATCAAAAATCCAAAATTTTAATGAATAGAAATCACTATGATCATTCCAACCAGTGTAAACATTCTTCAACATCGCTGATGAAAAGAAGCTATTGAGAGGTTCAACACCACTAATTTCCTGTCTATCAAGTCATTCTAGGTAAGCGATGGAAACTAATTCCCACCTGTCTGTCACAATCATATACCTATAGGTGTATGCATGCTTTTGAGTGTTATGGCGGTGGACTGTGGTATTGCTGAGCTGAGCTGAGCTGAGATGTTATCTCTCGATGAGCAGTCTAACACATCATAGACATCATGTATGACATATGTATGTAGACATGAATCAAACAGTGTTAAAATTCTGTTGTTTATCAGTTCGCTGAATCTCATTCTGGGTATATTGAGTGGACAATATGCTTAGCCAACTACCCTCTGAAGTTCAGACATATGTTGTGGGTACATTTCATCTATGAAGCATCATTCTCAAATTCTTGTACACAAAATCCTGCCTAAATTTTGTCAAAATAAACCCATGACTTATTTCATCACAAAAATAATATTTACTAGGAGAAATGGGATTGCATAGGAAGCTTTCAATTTAAACTAGTAATGTGTTGTTTGTGTTTATGAAGAGAATGGGATAAGAAGATGAAAATCAAAATCACTGAACGATATACAGGTAAGATTATCAGTTGATTTTAATGGAGAGATGAAATTTATTTCACTTTCTGAACGATTTTCGTTGGAACACATCTCATATTAACCTGCCTGGATATCTTTAGGATGTTTAGACTAAACAATTTTATCAGTGTGTTAGGATAAATATACGTGTTACATTAAATATATATACTTACGTATTGACTATTTTTGTTATGTGGTGCTGCGATCGTATTTTTTATTTCTTAAGCAGTTACTCTTTGCATTTCGCTAACTGTTATACTCTGCCATCCTGATTTACCTCATTAGCTTCTTTGACTTAGGGGCTTGACGTCATATGCATTAAATGGTTGTCGATAAATTGGATTGTTTTGATTACTGACTGATTGAATGTTTTAGGTAACAAAGTTTTTATCTGAGCGAATTTGCGCTTTTGAATGTCAGCTTCATTCCAGAACTGTTACGAATTCTATCTAGGCTTTACAATGTCTCTTCATTATGTGTGTGGTAATACTACAGGGGATTTAACCTTCTATGTATGTACCCAGTAAATCAAGGAACAAACTTAAGTTGGGAATTTTTTTTCAGATAGTTTATTACATAAGCTGTGCTATCCTATCACTCTTAAGTCATCACGTGACGACATGTTTTGATGTAGGTTCCCTCTTGGTCATTATCGGTCTTCCTCTTTTAAGCCATGGTATATATTTTACTAAACTCTGGATGTTAGTTATTAGATGACATTGTTACTTCAATATGTTCCACTTCCTTGTCATTTAGATCTTCTGATTTACTTGTCAGACTCCAAAGTCAAATGCTCATGTACTTTACTAAACCAAGTTCGCGTTCGTAGAGGAGTTAGCTAAGCATTAATCTGAACGTGACAGAGACAGTCTTCCTGAGGAAACCTAGGGTGATATTAGGTAGGCTGTTGAAACAGCGATACAGACAATCGGTAACCTTCATCCGAAGGTTAGCAAACGTGATTGGATTTCCACGACGTCATCCGAACTGATTGATGCAAGAAGATTAACTCCTACTAGCTCTGACAACGATGAAGAGTGGTAGCAACTTGAATGTAAGTTGACCAGTAGTCCTCAGACGGATTGCAAGCAGTGGTAGATGACAAAAGTGAGAGAAGTGCCACCTGTCGATGAATTCTTTTGCTGTCAGTTTCAGTTGTGTGGGGAGATGTTGACTACGCGGTTGGGGTTTTGAGATGAAAGTAATCAGTAGTTGAGAACTCTTGGCGATGTTTGAAAATCGGTCACAATGGTGCGAATGTATTCACTCCTTGACATCTCATAAACCTTCTAAACATCTGCACTAAGCCTTATACTCAAATCATTTATTGTTTCACACAAGTTTGTCTACTCTATCATCATACCTTTTCTATCCACCTGTGTGCGACGTTCTACATTAGGTTTGTCAGTCGGTCAGTCCTATTTTGACAGATATGTAAGTTTCCATCTTAATGTAGTTATCTCCTGATAACACTAGTAGGCAAACTTTCATCTTCGATTCTGTTGATTTCCCTTGCAGATTTTATGACCAATAAATGACTTGAACTACATCTACTATCGACTGACTTTGTGTGAATAGAAAACTGTCAATATGTTCTGATTTCAATACAATAAAAGTTTGATTGATATATCTCCACCGTAGTTTTGCAGTGGATTAGAATTTTCCTAGTGCAATTTTCTTCCCAGAAATGCAGCTGCTATGATAGGTGATGGTGAAAAATGTTCTCGCTGTGCCAACTGTTTATCGATAAATTTGAAAACTATAGAAATTAGGTCTTAGCCTGTCACCAGCATGATTTCTTCAATGAAAACTGATGGACTTATCGAAATAAAGAATTTCTAATGTTGTATGATTACTCTGATATGATTATGACCAGTGAATTCTGTTTGAAAAGTCATCCAGTAAACAGTACTGTATCACTGTGTTGTAACATATATAGTCATCAGAATAGAGAGCTGTGTTATTTTGAACTCTGGAATCGTGTATGAAATGTTTTGAGTGAAGTGAAACATTCCCCATTGTTCTCCAAATCAACACACATCTGTCATAAGAACCATTCTCGTGATAGAAAATGTAACTATGGGCATAACTGGTAGATATCTTGAAGTTAGTGGGGATCTTAATTTTTAGGTAGTTAAATACGTCAGCCATTAAACCCAAAAAGATCTGAATTCGATTTCTAGCTGAGTCGTGGGTGCATAACTCTAGGGGTCCCTTCATACTAGGATGAAATAGTTGAACAGTGCTCCCGACTTTCAGTAGTTCTCTAACTGATGTCAGCCGATGATAAATACCACGTTTTAATTAGTGGTTGTTAAGAAAGAAATCCTTTCCTCGTGGTAAATCTATGTTAACCGTTATATTCGTTGTTTCAACAGATTGTATGCTTTGTTAGCTGTCTCTTCTTTTTTTTCGACTTTTAATTTGTTTTATTTTTTTTACAGATATTTTGTCTTCTGTTTTCAATGGTCATGTGTTGCACAATACGGCAGTATCATTCAGACTATTATGGAGTGAATTATTCAATTGCCACTTGAATAACATTAAACAGCAAGTAAACTTCGCTATATCCCCTGGTGCTTTTCATTTGTTTGTTTCATGCGGAAGAATTTTTCTCTTCGATCTCTTTTTGTGTTATGGGATCATCTCCTTTTCTTTAAAATAGAAATCTTTTTTTAAAAAAATCATAATTTCATCCTCTTTTATTCAAATACCTGAATAATGAATATTCTTTTTTTATAAAATATGAAATTAATAATGTTAGTCTGTGTGTATAATTGTGATGATTATTTTATTGATTAATGATGTGAATTTGTCATGTATCACTCGGAGGTCAATATTTCCCCTGTAACATTTGATGAACAAGAACATATTCGACTCATCTCTTTTAATTGGCATAAATCATCTAGCCAATGGTAGTATTTCTGGTCATTGTGTTTCTCATGTTCCTCATGTTGTAATCCACCATCATTCTGTATAACTAATTCCCGTGGCTTTCTTCATTTCACAAATGACTTGTGGATGATACAAAACTGTATTGTTTGTTTGTTTGTTCATATGTATCTCTGCGATTGATTTTAAAGCATATCGAGCTGGTTTTTAAACAAAACAAAAAATGTTTTGATCCACGAGTTAGTAGGGTATTCATTCAACTGTAAGCTTATTCTCTACTATTTCGTTTTATTTTGTTTCATACATGGCTGTCACACATCTATTGAGTTATCTATCACCTGAAGACTTACATTAGAGCTGTACGAATATCTCGATGGTTGAAATGTCGACAATGCAGAGCAAGTGATAACTTTATTCAATTCATTTATCCTCTTTGTAAGAAGTTTTATTCTAATCGAATTGTATGAAATATCTTTCATTTTATTTTCAAGTTTTCATCTTAAATTTTTCCCTCTTCATTATTATTGTTTTTTCTTTGCTTCTTAACTTTATGGCGAGTTTATTCACAGGTATTTTCTAAACAGAAATGTGCTCCATTTGTTTTTTGTTGATCTTTTTTTATTTGTATTCTGAATTTCCTTGTATTATTTATTAGACATGCATTATAGTAGACATTCAAGCATCAACTTACATTGTACAGATAATATTTCAAAAGAAACTTGAATATTCATCTGCCAACTGGCTTCTCGTTGTTGTTGTTATTATCAGTTGACTATATGAGATAACCGTAGTTTGACAGATTGGCATTTATACTGGGTGATGATTGAAGGTGAAATGAAAATTTGAACCACGGCCGAACTCGAACCAGCAACTACCTGGTTTCCGACCCGACACTGTACCAGCTGAGCCTCATAGCTCAGTTAGTCGCCGCTTCGAATCCGGCCACGGTTCAAATTTTCATTTCACTTTGAATCATCACCCAGTATAAGTTGTTGTTATGGTTGCTTACGTTTCTGCTCCAGTACTCTTTCCAAGCAAGCATATATGCGTTCATAGATTGTCTTTTTCAATAAAGATAATTGATGTATTGCATAGGAGTATTGACGTGAAACATGCCATTTCATGTTTCATATATTCTTTTCTCATTGAATCGAGATGGAATAATAATAATCTTTATTCAATATATCAATAAAAAAAGAGTTAGAAAGTGTTTGTTTAAATCTTTTGAAGACTTTTGATGGAGTCACAAAAATGATTAGATTCTTAGTCGTATAGTCTAGAAATGTTCGCCACTGTGGAAGTACTTGTATATGCATATTTGCATAGAGGAAAGGATAATAATTGTAAGGAATGTATATGCTAGTTTTTCATCTCATCTTTTAGATCCCATCATCTATTCATTCACTGATCATCCTATTCATATGTGAATATAAACATATTCTCATTGTCTTAATCTTTTTTCTTTTTGTTATCCTGGCAACATTGTCAACTTCTTTATATTCATTACTGGTATCATCATTGCTGACCTTGTTAGACGTGTGAATGTTTCAAAATTTGTACTTTCTTTCCATTGATTTCAGCACTGTATTCATTCGAGTAGAATCTCATTCTAGGCGCATACAACCAAATGGAGATTTATTTGTTCCTTTACATTTTTCTTCTGTTGTTTACGTCTTCTCTTACAAAACTAGGAAAAGGTAATTGAATAAAAAGATGGTTCCATTACTTTTGAATGCAATAAGTGTTTTGTAGAAACTGGAATCATTACAAAATGCAGTAAGATACAGATAAATATAATAAAAATATATAAAGACGAGATATCTTATGTTACAAACTGTTTTCATCTTGTCTGTTCTTTCTCATAAATTTAATTCGATTTCCTGCTATCATACTATTATATCTAAATCGGTTATTCTACTTCACATGGCAATGTCTGTGTGCATATTGGTGAACAATAAACAGCACATACGTCTGTGTATATGTCAGTATAAGCATTTGTTTATATTTCTCCGTTGACTGTTTCTCAGAATAATAATCTATGTCTTCACATCAATTTATAAAATGGGAAAAAAATGAATCATCAGCGGTTTTTTGTCCTTGCCTTGTTTTCACTGTAAATGTCAAATATATATATATATATATATATATATATATATATATATATATATATATATGCAAATAAGCACAGCAGAAAATATTCTTATTTGTGAATTGTTGTCATGGCAAGCGCACAAATACTTCAAATGATAGTCCTTGACCTTCATCTTTGTCTCTAAGGTACTAGATGATATCCAGTGGAAAGAATGTCTTATCTACTGAATAAATAATCCTTTCGCTAATAATTTATCATCTTTTCAATTCTAATTGGTATACTTATTTGGCTTTATATTCTTCTTATTTGTCCTTTGTCAAGACAGAGTGAAAGCAGGTAACCTGTTCATGTTCCAGCATTAATTAGGTAGACTGGATAAGTTAAGTGAACAAGGTCATTGTGTAGTGACAAGCCAATCAAAAATGAGTATAGTTCTGAACTGAATCATCATTATGATGACCTTTTCTGTTGACTGAAGAAATTATTCATTGTTTTACAGAAACAAATTATTCATTGTGTGATTTTGTCTTTCAAATAAGAATTCGTAAAATTGAAATTATTATCAGAATACTAAAGTGAATGTTCAGTATTTGTTTAAAAGTAGTTTGTTGAAAACATGAATGGCATGAAAAACTACAGAAATTATTGATTAAACAAATAAAAATAACGCGATATTATCAAACTAATAAGGCGTGAAAGAAAAGGGCTAACTGCATATAGAGAAGGTCTGGAAAAACGTCAACAACATATTTCTATACTAATTGTTGGTTATTTGTAAAGGCATCTGTCATTTTAAAGTTGTAACATGGCTTGAGGAAAATGAAATGTTGTTTATCACCATAGTTACACCAAGAAGTATTGAGTAGATTAGGTTGAAATCATGGAAATATAAATTATTTTTGATCTATGTATTTAAATGAACGCTATGAAAGCTAAAAGAGACAGCCGGATGAGAAAAGTGAAATGAAAATGAAATCAGAAAATTCCAGTTAGGATTATTCAATGAATGATATAGTATTACTGTTTAGTGACATGCTTGTAATTCTCTGTTGTTTTGTTGGATCGAATTGTTCAACCTCTATTGGATGCCTCGATATTGCCTGAATATTAATAGAGGTCGAACAATTCGATCCAACAAAACAATGGAGAATTACAACGCCTTGGCGTTTGAAGCGATGGGTACGAGGCTCGAGTCTCAGTGGTGATATGGTGTGCTTGTTGGGGTTTATTAATTCCTATGAATTGAGTTGTGACCTATGGGTTTCACTGATAACGTGCTGGCCACGGAACCTGTAGGTCGAGGACTCGAGCCCTGGCGGGTCTAGCGCTGAGGAATCCCACACTAGGATGAAACAACTGTTAAGTGCTTCTTGGTTTTTGATGGTTCTCCAGTTGATATCAGTCCATGATGAATATCAACGTAAATAAATTGGAAGTAAAATACGAGGTAATTTTATGGTGAAAACACCTTCTCCCCTGACTAGTCATATTTTCCAATGGTACATTTTAACTACTGAAAAAAAAGCTAAATGAATGTGCAAAGATAGGACAATGTATATCCTTCGGTTTTTGAGATACAAAAAATTCTCAAAATCAAAAGACACTGCTACTTAATAGAGGGTAGTTACTATCACAGTTTCAATAAACTCATCCACCTGCAGGTTCGAAATAAAGCATCAACACTATTTTACTCTTTATATTATTATCCTGCATTGCTTTTTTACGCTGCTATGCTAGAATAGTCATTTTAGTCTGTGAAACAGTGTTATTCACTGGATAATGTTTCGGACATAATTTATTGTCCATATTCATATCTTAATTAATCTACTGAAGTGGAGTTACATTCTACCATACTGCTCAAGTTTTATTCCAGTATTAATGAAACATATCGTCCACTTGCTCGAAGATTACTTAATAAACTCACACGACTTTCATAGACAGACGGCAGATACGCAAATCGTAGTATATTCAGCATTCAATGATGTCTTAGAAATCAAATCATTCCTAAATATCTACGTCTACGTGCACCGATTCCAACAGATAAAGTTGATACAGCTATGCAGCGGGTCAGTGAACATTGACTTAGAGAAGGAATCCATAGAATAGTCAGAAAAGTTGAACACTATCAGCAATTATAACAAAGAACTGAAAGCGAACAGCTAGTGAAGAAAGCTATAATCTTCTGAGGGACAGTTGCAATAAAGCAAGATCAAAAGCTTTCAAAAAATCCAAAAATACTCGAATTAAGAAGTTCGACAAACTTATGCAAGAAAAGTATGCAGTCAACCGTACTAAGATTACCAACACCATTTCACTGATGATCCATAAGTCAAAATATATTTTCAGTCTCAACTAAAGTTCTAAGCTGTGGACAAGTAAAAGTGTTATAGAAAGGCTATAACTTCAATGGAAATCAGAAGATTTGATGTAATATGAAAATAAACAATAAATTATGTCCTAAACATTATCCAGTAAATAATACTGTTTCACTGTATGATAGACTGAAGTAGAGTTATAATGTATAACAGTGCCAACGAGTTACTTGTGTACTAG